TTTTTAAGGTTAAGAAGAAAGCATTGAGGATTATGCTCAGGTTTCTCCTTGGCTGAGTGCATTGACAGACAGTTTGGCTAGTGGAATGGATGCAGAGAGGTGGTGGTTTTATTTTGCTTATGCGGGGCTGGGTTGCTTTTGGCACACTTGTTTTGTTGACAATCTGTATGGATCCCATTCTTCAGCATGTTACCACCATTTAGCATAAGTGCTCAGTAATATTTGTTACATGTATAAGATTCTAGAGCTCAAAGAAAGGCTTGAACTTAAACACAAAGATGTTGTTCCTTTCAGAAGGCACTCCTACTTAATGTTTACATTTTCAACCATTCCTATGTAAATAACCAAAAAATCATAAGAATGGTTGAAAATGCAAACATTAAGTAGGAGTGCCTTCTGAAAGGAACAACACATTCAGGGGATGATGTGGGAAAGAAGAGGTTCAAAAATGAGAATGATTAACAATATCAAATATAGTGAGAGAAGTTCAGTAACACAAAGCTGGAAAGTGCCCACTGGATTTGACAGGTAGTTGGAGGTCATGACTAGAGTGCTTTGTATAAATGGATCATTAGAGATGAGTGAGTCCTGGTGTGGCGCTGTGAGTAAATGCGCTGGACTGCACAGTTTGTTTGAATCTCAAGGTCGGTGGTTCAAGTTCACCAGCTATTCCTTGAAAACCCTATACAGGGTCGCTATGGGTCAGAACCAACTCGATGGCACTTAACAACACCAACACCAGAGGCGAAGTAAGTTTACAGTCAGCAAACAATAAAATGAGAGGGGAGAAAGTAAAGGCAGCACAGTCCACTCTTTTGGATAACAAAAGAGATGAGAAGGATTGTTTACTGATTGCTGTTGAGTTGCTTCTGACTAATAGTGACCCTATAGTACAAAGTAGGAATGTCTGATAGGGTTTCCAAGGCTGTAATCTTTATGGAAACTGACTGCCACATCTTTTTCCTCAAAGTGGCAAGTGGGCTCAAACTGCCAATCTTTTGGCTTAACCTCTAAGAAACTAGGGGAACTTCTATTAGAAGCTTTCTTGTTAGGTGCCATTGAGTTGGTTCCAACTCACAGTAACCCTTTGTGCAACAAAAACGAAACAGTGCTGAGTACTGCACCATCCTCAGTCATTATGTTTGAGCCCATTGCTACTGCCACTGTGTCAATCCATTTCATTGATGGTCTTTCTAATTTTCACTGACCCTCTACTTTACCAAACATGATGTCCTCTGGGACATCAACTGGCCCTTCCTTACAACATGTCCAAAGTATGAGAGATGAAGTCTCACCACCATTGCTTCCAAGAAGCAATCTGACTGTACACCATCCAGAACAGATTTGCCTGTTCTTCTGTCAGTCGAAACAATATTCTTCACCAATATCATAATTCAAGTGCATCATTTCTTCTGTAGTCTTTCTTATTCCTTGTCTAGCTTTCATATACATATGAGAAGAATGAAAATACCACTGTTAGGGACAGGTGCACCTTAGTCCTTAAACTTTCATCTTTGCTCTTGAACACTTTAAAGAGGTCTTTTGCAACAAATTTGTCATTTGATTTCTTGACTGCTGCTTCCTTGAGTATTGATTGTGAATCCAAGTAAAATGAAATCTTTGACAACTTCAATCTTTTCTCTGTTTATTATGATGTTATTTATTGGCCCAGTTGTGAGGAGTTCTGTTTTATTTGCATCAAGGTGCAATCCACACTGAAGGTTAAGGTCTCTTTACTTCCAGCAAGGAAGAGTGTATCATCTGCATATTGTAGGTTATTAATGAGTCAGGTTCTTGGATTATTTGCTCAGTATACATATTAAGTAAGTATTGTGGAAGGATACAACCTTGGCCATACAGCTTTCCTGATTTTAAACCATTCAGTGTCCCCTTGTTCTGTTCAAATGACTGCCTCTTTTTCTTCATACAGGTTCCTCATGAGCACAATCGAGTGTTCTGAATGTTTGAAAACTATTTTTGTTAAACTTTGGAGTTATCAGACTGTTATCCTTTGGACCTTCACAAAACCCTGCTAACATCAACTGACATTTTTGATCAGCACTGTTAATCATATCATTGAATAATACTGAGCCATCTTTCTTTTTGGAATTGTGGTTTGGTACTGTAGAATAAGCACTGGACCGCTAACTAAAAGATCAGTGGTTCAAACCCACCAGCTGCTCCTTGGAAACCCTATGCAGGGCCACTGTGAGTTGGAACTGACTTAACGTCACTTAACAACAACAGTCTTCCTTTTGGGATATGTTACTAACACAAAGCAGAGAGGTTTTTTTTACCATGTTTATTTCTTATTTTGATCTTTCAGTGTAGAGTTTAAAGGAGTCCTGGTAGTGTAGTGTGTTACATGTTGGGCTGCTTTATTGCCAAATCAGCAATTTGAGTTCGCTAGCCACTGGTAGAATGATGAGGCCTTTTACTCCTGTAAAGACTTACAGCCTTGGAAACCCTATACAAGGTTGCTGTAAGTCGTAACTGACTGGATGGAACACAACCACTACCACCAACCACCATGTAGAGATTATCAGTGGAGATAGTTATAATCTTTGTCTCATATAACAAGATTAAGAGCGACCTCTAGCAAAGCATTTGGGTCATGTGTGAAGATACTATGTATAAAGAACATTAGCCATATTTTTGGGGTAAAAATAGGCACTCACCACTGTAGATTAAGATCATCAAATGACCAGTTGTTGTGAAGTGCTGTCAAGTTGGTTTCGACCCATATCAACCCTGTATAGGGTTTCCGAGAAACAGCTGGTGAGCTTGAACTGCCGATCTTGCGGTTCAAATTGTTTGGCAGCCTGGTGTATTAATCTGCAGCATCCTACCAGGACTCCTTATAAGCGACTTTGAAAATAGTTGTAATGGCCCACTAATCTAAAGAGAGATGAAAGGATTAATAAACATCACTTTTTATTGCATTGTATATCAGGTCATGCCATATGCTAACTTTGATTTTTTTGTTTCTTTCTTTTGCATGGCAGTATGCAAGACCAGCTTCTGATGTGAACATGCTGGGGGAAATGATGTTTGGCTCAGTAGCAATGAGTTACAAAGGTTCCACTTTAAAGATACACTATATACGGTGAGTTTGGCCTTCTCTCTCTACCAATTGTGAAAGTGAGTCGTGTGACGTTGACTCCTTCATTTAAGAATACATTCTCTTTTTTTTTGTTTTCTTTTTTCCAGTTCTCCTCCACAGCTGATGATTAGTAAAGTTTTCTCTGCTAGAATGGGAAGCTTCTGTGGGAGTACCAATAAGTAAGTGTGGGGATTTGCCTGTTCCCCTCCCTCATCGTTCGTAAGTGGCTATTTCTGTAGAGAATAATTCTTTGAGGGCCATTCGGATTTTAGAAATGAGAAGCAGGATACTTCCACAATTAAGAGTGGTCGTTTTTCTGTACCCAGTGCTGTTGAGCTGATTCATGGTGACCCCATGTGTTTCAGAGTTTTCAAAGACTGGTTTTTTGTCGGTAAATCGCTAGGCCTTTCTTTGGAGCACCTCGGGGTAGACTCAAACCTCCAGCCTTTTAGTTAATAGCCCAGCAAGTTAATTATTTGTTGCCACCCAGGGACTCCACTGACCTCTGTTTTTATTGTTGCTGTGTGCTATTGAGTTGATTTCTGAGTTATAGTGATCTCATAGGACAGGGTAGAACTACCCCATAGGGTTTTCTAGGCTGGAATCTTTATGGCAGGAGATTGTCAGGTCTTTTCTTCCACAGAACCACTGGTAAGTTTAGACCCCTGACCTCTTGGTTAGCAGCTGAGCATTTAACCATTGCACCACCAAGGCGCCTTCCGCTGTTCAATAAGTGAGTGTAAGAAGGCCTTTGACTTTATCAGATGACTTTAAAGACAAATGATTGTCTACATTTTGTGTCTCCATCTGTTCCCCACTGTTTTCCTACCATCAGTTACCAAGTTTTTATTCCCTGGAAAAGGAAAACTAAAGACAGAAAAGATGGGGCTGCATTAGTGAGTGTATGATATTTCACAGTATAATTTTACCTTTCAATCTTAGCTTTTAATTTATCTGCCTCAGAAACCCTATACAGGGTCACTATGAGTCAGAATTGACTCCACGGCACACAACTACGACCACCACCTAGTATTTACTTATTTATTTACTTAAACGTTTATTTATTTCAGAAGGAACCAGTGCATATTCCATTTTTTCAGGGTGGGTGGTCATTGTTTGCCGGATTTTTTTGAGCAGTCAAGGTAGCCATTATAAGTGATCGGGACTTGGTTTCATGCAATATTTTGATTTCCACTTCTGTGTTCTCCCCCCTCTAATATTACACATCTGTGTAGACTAAAAGGAGCTCTGGTAGCGTAGTGGTTATGAATCGGGCTGCTAATCTCATGGTCAGCAGTTCAAAACTACCAGCTGTTCCACGGGAGAAAGATGAGACTTTTACTGCTCTGGTAAAGATTTACAGCCTCGGAAACCTTGTACAGGGTCACTGTGAGTTGGAACCGACTCCACGGCACGTAACAACAACATGTAGACTAAGGGAGTCCTGGTGTGATCCTGTAAGACAGGCACTAGACCGAAAGGTCAGTTTAAACCCCAGGGTCAGCAGTTTAAAACCTACCAGCTGGTCCTTGGAAACCCTATAGAGGGTCGCGATGAGTCAGAACCAACTTGATTGCACTTAAACAACAGCAACAACATGTAGACTAAGGCAGTTCTGGTATAACACTGTAGGATAAGCATTGGACTGCTAACTGCAAGATTGGCAGTTCAAACCCACCAGCCACTTCTAGGAAACCATATACAGAGTCTCTGTGAGTCGGAACTGATTCAATGGCTCTGTTAACAACGACAGTGTAGAATAAGAATACTAAAATGACTAAATGAAACTCAGATTCTGACATATTTTTCCATTTGTTTTGAACTTCTGAACAAAAATACTTCAGGTACTTCTCTTTTGATGAAAAGAAAGTATTTGTTATCCATTGATATATTTGAAAGAAAGCCTTATTATAAATTAGGGACAGTCTTAGGAGATAGATGAAATCTGTCTGGTGGGTTTTTTGTTTTATTTTTTTTTAACTGTGGGAAACTAAAGATACCTTCCTCTGTAGATTTGGGCACCACTGATTAAATCTTTGCTTACTCTTACAACATAATGGTGAATTTTCTTATTTCTGCCTTGACTTAAGCCAATCTGGGAAGTGATGTTTATTTTATATGATTTATTCCTTTGTGTGGCTCTGCAGGTTAATGTGCTAGACTACATGGTTGGTTTGAACCGCCAGGTCGGCTGTTCAAGCTGACCAGCTGCTCCCCAGAAACCCTATACAGGGTTGCTATGAGTTGGAAACGACTCGACTGCACTTAACAACAATAGCAATTCCTTTTTAGACCTTTGAGATGACCTGACTGTTTATTACAATCCCTATAATAAAATACTGAGCTCAGATTTAACCAAAAATTATTTTATTTCATTGTGTTATATTGTCCTTGAAGTCTTAATATTTTCCTCATTAATAAAAGATTATGTTCTACTACTTTCACCTTTGTTTTGATGAGTAAATCTAACTTTTTAGAAGTGCTGTGAGCTCAAACTCATATAGAATCATAATTTCCCCCTAAAATAAAAGTTGCTGACATATGTTCATTAAGAGTTGTAAAACTCTTTAAATGAGTAGTAGTGTGCTTAGTGTCAGTTACTGAATCAAAACTTAGAGCTTGATGTTCCATTTTATATGACTTGTAGTTCTTAGGAATATAGAATACCTCCAAATAGCTTTTGTGTTCCTCTAAGAAATTCCTCTAAAGTTACCAGTTTAATTCCCTTTGATGGATGTAAGAGCTTACTCATTTATAAAGAAATATCTTGTCATTGATCAGTTGTCTGTATTTGAAAGTCTTATTTTTTTAAAAAAAAAAAAGAACATACTTTGTTTCTTGACGTTTTTCTCCTGTTTCTCTCTTCCTCCCCATCTCTGGCTTTAGCTTGCAAGACAGCTTTGAATATATCAACCAAGATGCTAATTTGGGAAAACTGAACACCAGTCAGAATAGTTTGGGTCCCTGTCGTACTGGAAGTAATCTAGGTAAAACCAGACACAGCAGTAGATTCTGTATTTTTGAGTACTATTAATGTGGGTGTGTGTTTTGCTTTATTTGAGTTTGTTGTGTTGTTTTGCTTTTTTTTTTTTTTTTTGCATTATCTTTAATCTGTTTATTTTGTGTATGTATTTCGTTTGCCCTCTTCTGTGTGTTTCTATCTCTAGGTCTGCTGCAGGCATGCAGCAGCAAACTGCTGCTGGGGGTAGCTGAAGGAGGACCCCTCCGGCTCACCCGGAGTGCTTCTTTCTTTGCAGGTTTGTGTGGAATGCTGAGTACAGTGTGACCCACACACATATTAATAAACCCTGTGCAGGTTCTTAGAATAAAAAATCCTATTTAGTACCTCTCTAGAAATCCAAGGGGCTCTTTTGATAAGAGATATTAATTTCAAATACAGCCAACTTCATGGTGTTTTGAAAATTCCACCTGTGAACCTCCATTGTAAATGTCTTTGCTAATGCCCAAGTATAAGCTGATTTTGATCTGAAATAAGCCCTTAGTGTTTCTAAGAGGATTATATTTTCTGATTTTCTTGGTCTCTGCTGCTGCTATGTGCTGTTGTGTCCTTTTACCATGGTACTTTTTTTTTCTTAAATCCATTTATTCACCTGCATCCTTACGTGCACCGAGTTTCTTCAAAAGTCACTCTAATAAAAGCATGGAAGACTTCTTTGATTTTTCTCTCTCCTTTCTCTCTCTCTAGCATGTAAATAGCTTAAATGCAGCTTCTAGGTTCTTTGCAGGTATAATCATCCAGGTGTAATCATCTAGGTAGGTAAGTTCTGAGATTTAATTGGCCTTGCAAGCTATGGCTATTGAAATGTCTATAGTAGGCTTGGCATGATTCATATGTGTGGGGAAATTTCTGTTACTAACATGTTAATGGTGGTTTTTATGGCAAATGGTATTCTTTACTCTGCTCTTTTTTATAGTCTGAAAAAAACCAAGCACCATAGTTAACTGACGCTAATGAAACTGACACCTTCCCACCTACTTAGAGTGAGGCTAGCTTGTTTATATATTTGAAAAAAAATAAAAATTGTGAAAACAAACATACTTCAAAAATAACTGGCAAAGTATAATTATGAAACAGAACCCTGGGTTTCTTGTGCATTGTAAAACTTGCGATAGCAATATCTCACCCACCATCAAGCCCAATAGTATGTAGTTTAGATCAATCTGAAGCCTTCCTGCAAGTCTGTTTTACCCCAGAGTGTTTTCTAAAATTCATGCCATGATAGTGAGATTTGCTAAGTATTTATAGTAGTACTGCGTATGGGTGTTTGAGGCAAAGAAATGGAGGAAGAAATACTTGAAAATAAATATGTGTTTTCTATCTGCCAAGAGAGTAGCTTATAAATGGACAAACATTTTTTAAATTTATTAAATGCTTTTCAAGTATTTCTCTTTCCAAATTGTCTATAGTTACTAAAGTAACCGATTTAAAGCATTTTGAAAACATAATACTCTTACTACTAATAGTGAGAAAAATAGCTAAATAGATCTGCCTGAACTGTTTGTTCATAATATCAACTGCATGAATAGTTTGCTACTCAAGTTTTTTAGCGTGTGTGAACATCACTCAGAAAAAGTTTATATGCTACAATAGAACAGTTAAGGGCAAATGGTTACTTGGTTCTGTGTTTTCTTGTTCTCATAATCACCTTTTTGTGTATTTAATTTTGCTTTCTAGTTAATCTCTATACATTCTAGATGAACTTCGGATAAACTCTCTATACCAATTATAACAGAAGCCTGCTTTGAAGGAGCTTTCCTGACACAGTGGTTAAAGTGCTTGCCCTGCCAACTGAGAGGTTGACAGTTGAAACCCACTGGCTGCTCTGGGAGAAAGCTGTGGCAGTTCATAAATATTCATAGCCATAGAAATCTTTTGAGGCAGTCCTACTCTGTCCTTTAGGGTCACTATGGGTTGGCCTTGCCTCAACCACGACAGGTTTGGTTTTTTGGTTAGCCTACTTTAAAATATAAAAAGTACTTCAGGTGTTATTAAAACTTTGAAAAGCCCACTAATATGCTCTCTTTCTGCTTTTTAGCACACAGCACACCAGTTGACATGCCAAGCAGAGGGCAAAATGAAGACAGGGACAGCGGCATTGCTCGATCAGGTATTTGTACTTTGTTTTATAGGTTAAGCTAATAGGGGTGAATACTGTATACTGGTGTAGCAGATGGGAAAGTAGGAGAACAGTAGACAGGTAGGTGTCCTCAGATCTACTGGAGTTTTTCCTCCATATTCTAAAACAGTCTTACTTTTGTGAAGGTCTGAAACTTTGGTGGATAGCATCTCAAGAGTGGTTAGACAGCTAATTTAGGTATTCATGTTTTTTTCTCTAATACTCAAAAGTCATATGAGACTAAACTACACTGAAATGTTTCTTTCCTGAAGGGAAACTTCCTTTAGTTAACTGTTTTGGGAAATTGCTTGCTAAATATTTCAGGAAATTGTCTGTGGAAGTAAGTCTATCCATGTAAGTAGGAAGGTCTGCCAACTCTCTTCTGTCTTGGAGACATGATGATCTAGATTGTATCTCAGGTACCCTGTTCTCCTTACGTCAAACCCTAGATTTCCTAAGGATGCTCTTTCCACCTTTGATTTCTGTTTTTGTATGTGACTCTGTCAAAAAACAAACTAAAATGATATTGGTAGTTGAATTTGATAATGGGTCTGTTCAGGTTTGAATTTGGGTTATACATAGCTCCGATCTGAGCCAAGGTGGTGAACGGATCAGGAATTTGAGGACTCTGAGGTTAAGTGTAGCTGTGCATGATGAATACATACCAGAGAGTCAGCCCCTACCTTCCACCAGGAGTAGAAGCACCTGGCTGTGTCCCTCCTGATCCATGGCACACCACCAAGTAGGTCAGCCGTCGTTTGTGCTGCATGTGGTCAGACTGGGTCAGGTCTCAGCTCCCTTTCTTCTCAGCTGTTCACTAATTTCTATTTCTAGCCCTTGCCTTCAGACAGAGCTCTGAAGGGGTCTTTTTGCTCCATCTGTGCATTACCAAATCCTTTCACTCTGTGTAACCCTGTTCCTGAGTTATTAGATGAAATGTGTGTTTGTTATGGAATTGTTTGTTTATGTGTCACACAGTGTAAAATATGTAACATTTTATTTATTGTTAAATAAAAATATGAGGGGGCTTCAAAACATTTGTGGAAAATTGGAATGAAAAGATAATGACGTTTTTTTCCTGCAAACTTTTTGAAGGCCCCCCCCCTTATGGTTGAATCATTTAGGTGTTTATACCCTTTTTTGTAAAGTTGGTTCACGAACCTGTGGTCAGAAATTAAATCCCATTGAATAGGCCTGTTGTTGTTTTCACATACAGCTCTGTTTGTGCTAGTATAATGCCTCAGACGTAAAAGCGAAACATCCAAAGTGCTAAGAAAACTGTTTTTGTTTTTGTTATTTAATGGTGCTCAGGGAAATTTTCTCGTATTTTATGAAGCACTGCCAGTATTTTCTTCTGCAAGAGCAGCTGAATTCCAAAGAGACTCTGAATGTGCATTGACAGGTGGTTCAATATCTAGGCAATAAGGTGAGAGTTCAGGTCTCAGCATGTGTAATTTTATGGGAAGCACACTCCTGGAACTAAGACACTCTGAGTTTAAATTGTTGCCCCTTGAAAAAACTATGCTGTCTTAGTGGCTGATGGAATTTAATGTGCTTGCTTTTGTAGAATGAGAGCTACTTACCTATCAGCAAAATGAAAACTGAATAACATTCTACGCAGGGGCCATTTTCAACACTGATATTACAGAGCTCAGGCAGTCTCACCTTACTTTATTGATTCATATATTATTCTTCAAGGTCCAGAGAGGATTTTAAGACATATTTGGGGAGTTAAAACTTAACAGAAACCTTATTGGAAGTGAAGTTAGAATTTTCCCTTTGTAATATAATTAATTTCACTGGTTTAAGTTGTATGGTTCAAAAACTCCTATGTTTGGCACTAGCCAGCACTAGTTTTCCTTTGGGAAGCAAGCAAGTTATGACGTCAAGTTAAGGCAGAAGAGATAATGAAGATGGTTGCAAGTGCACATAGGTGACATTTTGCTTCTTTTGTGCTAAGTCCAATACCATGTCATATCTGGGAGTTGTTTTGAAATCACTGAGCTCGTATAAAGACTAGTGTGAGCTTTATAATTTATAATACTTCTGGTAGAATTCAGTGCACTGTTCTTTTTTGTTGTTAATCCATAATTTTTCTCTGATTAAAATACTGTCTCATTATGGCCAGTTTTCATTGTGTAGGGACCAAGGTATTTGAATTAAATGAGTAATATCAGAGTTAGAGAAATTAAAAACATTCTTTATTTTCTTTTAGCCTTAAAATGAATAGTTTGAGAGATAGGGGAATTAAAAAAAACAACAACCAGATTGTACTTTTTAGAATCATGGTTACGAGTCGGGGTGCCAACCTCAAGGTCAGCAGTTCGAAACTATCAGCGGTTCCCCGGGAGAAACATGAGGCTTTCTGCTCCCGTAAAGATTTATAGCCTCGAAAACCCTGTGCAGGGTCACTATAAGTAGGAACCAACTCCACAGTACTTAACAACAACAACATAGACACTGTACTCACTTTTCCTTCACATTAACGTCTCATATAAGTGTGATACATTTGTTATAATTAATGAACCAATATTTAGATACACTGTTATTAATTAAAATCCAACTTTTTTCCCTTAATCATTACTTGTCTTAGTTATCAAGTGTGGCTATGACAGAGATACCACAGTTGGATGGCCTTTAACAAACAGGAATTTATTCTCTTACAAGTCGTTGTTGTTATGTGCTGTCCAGCCAGTTTCGACACATAGTGACCCTATATAGGAGTCCTGGTGTGGCATTGTAGTATAAACCCTAGACTGCTAACCGCAAGGTCGGTGGGTTCAAACCCATCAACCACTTGTTGGAAACCCTGCACAGGGTCACTATGTGTTGGAACCAACTCAATGGCACTTAACAAAAACAATATATGGTTTCCAAAGAGCGTCTGATGGGTTTGTACTGCTGAACTTGCAGTTAGCAGTCTAGGGCTTATCTTACAGAGCACTTAAGAGGACTGGTCAGCTATTCTGTATGATGTCCCATTACTGGAATGAGTTTGAAGTTTTTCTCATTACTCGACTGTGGTTATGGGTTTGGGGGAGGAGGGTCACATAGTAAAGTGCCATTTTCATAATGTTACATAAGAAGTATATACCATAACTTAATTTGTAATTATTAATATTGTTCTTGATCACCTGACTAAGAGTTTGTCAGTTTTTTCCCACATAAAATGGCTTTTCCTCCTCCGCATACTGTATACTGTGGAAGGAAAACAATCTGTGCAGCCCACTTGTAAGGTGGGGAATTTGCATATGAGTAATTGATGGTCTTTTCCATATTCTGCCCCTGGCCTTATTTTCACTGATGATATGGAGCTTTTCCATCGAATCTTTCCGCAGATGTAGTCAATTTGATTTCTATGTTTTCCAGTTGGTGAGGTCCATGTCGTCTTTTATGCTTTCTAAAGAAGGTATTTGAAATGAACAAATTCATTGATTTTCAGAATTTTATCATACGTTCTCCAGCATCATTTCTATTACCAAGGCCATATTTTCCAACTACTGATCCTTCCTCTTTGCTCCCAACCTTTGCATTCCAATCACCAATAATAATAAATACATCTTGATTATATGTTTGAGCTATTTCAGTTTAAAGAAGTTGATAGAATTCTTCCATTTCATCCTCACTGGCTTTAGTGGTTGGTGTGTAAATTTGAATAATAATGATATTAACTGGGCTTCCTTGTAGATGCATGGATATTATCCTATCACAGACAGCGTTGTACCTCATGACTAATCTGGAAATGTTCTTTTTGACAATGAGTGCAACACCATTCCTCTTCAATTTGTCATTTCCAGCATAGTAAACCATGTGTTTGTTAGATTCAAAATGGCCAATACTAGTCCATTTCAGCTCACTAATGCCTAAGATATTGATGTTTATGTGTTCAGTTTCACTTTTGACAACTTCCAATTTTCCTTGATTCATAATTCAGAACCCCATGTTCCGATTTTTAATGCAAGTTTATAGCTGTTTCTCCTCATTTTGAGTTGTGCTCCATCAACAGATGAAGGTCCTGTGGACTTTTGTCCCACAGGCTTTACTCCATTTGCGTTATCACGGTCAACTCTACTTTGAGGAGGCAGCTTTTTCCCAATCGTATTTTGTGTGCCTTCCAAACTGAGGGGCTCATTTTCTGGCGCTATATCTGACAGTGTTTCTCTGCTATTCATGAGGTTTTCAGTGACTAAATATTCAGAAGTAGTTTGTCACTCCTTCCTAGTCTGTCTTCATCTGGAAGCACCTCTGAAACCTGTCCACCATGGGTGACCCTGCTGGTATTTAAAATACTGGTGGCATAGCTTTCAGAATCACAGCAACTTACAAGCCACCACAGTACGACAAACTGACAGATGAGTGGTGGAGATATAGAAGGAGATATAAATTGGGGAACAGATGTACATTCTCATTGTATTTTGAATGTATTATTTATATATTAGTCAAAAATGTAACTATTTTTAAGAGGCTGTTTTGGTGGTTTGCCACTCAGAATTTTCAAGTAAGGTTTTGAGAGAAAGGAAGGGTAGGTTCCAGCCATACTTTCAGTTGCCATTGAGTCATTTCTGAGTCATGACAACCCCTTGTGTTTCATTGGGTTTTCAATGGCTGTTATGTTTTAGAAGTAGATCACCAGGCATTTCTTTCATGGTACCTCTGGTTGTACTTAAACCACCAATCTTTTGGTTAACTGTTTGCAATACCCAGGCTCTAACCATACTAGGAAGTATTATTGGCAGGGCTTAGTGACTAATTTGGGAGATATACAATCTGTAGGAACAAGGAGAAACTATAGGATGACTCTCCAGTCTCTAACTTGGGAAAGGAAGTAGAGGAGAATGATGGCTTTCACCAGTTTAAAGAAAGGAGTGAGTCCAGGTCTGTGAAAAAGATACTGAGAGAATTTTATGCTTTTCAAAACTTTTGTCTACGTTTTAGTCTTAGGTCCCAAACTACAGATAAAAGAAATAGAAAAATTGAATCAATTGGAGTATAAATCCAGACAGCATGTTGATGGCCAAGGCTGGAGAAGACTGTATGTCCAAGCCAAGGAATTAAACTTTACGACATTTGAACCTATGTACCCCAGAATGAAGCACTGTTGGGTCCTGTTCTGTATTTCAGCCCACTGTTGCAACCATCGTGTTGAGGGTTTTCCTTTTTTTCACTGACCTACTTCATCAAGCAGGACATCCTTCTCCCAGAACTGGTCCCTCCAGGAGTTGATAGCATATCAAAAATATGTGAGACATTTTAAATTATCCTCACTTTTAAGGAAGATTCTGGATGTTATCTTCCAAGATAGATGTGTTTGTTCTCTGGCAAACCGTGGTATGTTCAGTATTCTTCACAACACCATTAATTCAAATGCATCAACTCTTCTTTCATCTTCTTATATTCGTTGTCCAACTTTTATATGCATATGAAGCAACTGAAAATGCCATGGCTTAGGTAGCGATCACTTTAATCCTCAAGGTCTTTTGCAGCAGATTGGCCCAATGCAGCATATCATTTGATTTCTTGACGACTGCTTCCATGGTTGTGGATCCTATTAAAATGAAATCCTTGACAACGTCTGTCTTTTTTCGGCTTATCTTGAAGTAGTTTATTGGTCCAGTTGTAAATTATTTTTGTTTTCTTTATGTTGAGGTGGACTCCATTTGTTGAAATATCTCAGTTGGTATTCCATCAACTTCTAGAACCTTGTTTTTCGCTATCAGAGCAGCGTGGAAATCTTCTTTCAATACCATTGGATCTCGATCATATGCTACCTCTTGAAATGGTTGAACATCGACACATTCTTTTTGGTAGAGTGACTTTATGTGTTCCTTCACCTTCTTTTGATGCTTCCTGGCCATTCATTATTTTGCCCTTATAACCCTTCAATATTGCAACTCAAGGCTTGAATTTTGTCTTCAGTGCTTTCAGTTTGAGAAATGCTGAGCATGTTCTTCCTTGTGATTTTCTAACTCTAGATCTCTGTACATTTCATTATAGTACTTCTCTTTTTGAGTCACCCTTTGAAATTTTTGTTATATATCTATTTCAAGCATTTGCAAATATGTATGTAAAGTATTCTCTGCGAAATCTATTTATGTTTCTGGGTATACGCCCCTACATCATACTATACTTGTTCAGTTTGCATATCTAGTTCTGAATCCTTTTGTAAATTATTGTTTGTTATTACTGTTACTGCAGGATTGCTTATGCAGTAGTATTTGTCATTGTTTCCTCTTACTCTTGCATACTTTCCAATGTCTTCCTTTGGCTTGGTCATGTGCTGATTTTCCCTTTTATTGGGTTACCTTTCCCTTCACCCAAGTTAATACATCTCTACTGTCTAGTGGACATCATTGCTGATGTCTGACAGATCTTGGCTGAAAGCAGAGAATATCAGAAGGATGTTTACCGGTGCTTTACTGACTACACAAAGGCTTCCAATTGTGTGGCTCATGACAAGATATGGACAACATTGTGAAGTATTCTGGAACACTTAATTGTGCTCATGAGGAATCTGTACCTGGACCTAAGAGGCAGTTGTTCAAACAGAATATGGGAACACTGAATGGTTAAAAATCAAGAAAGGTGTGTGACAAGGTTGTATTCTTTCACCATACTTATTCATCCTGTATGCTGAGCAAATAATTTGAGAAGCTGGCTTATATGAAGAAAAATGTGGCATCAGGATTGGAGGAAGACTCATTAACAACCTGCGATATGCAGATGATACCACCTTGCTTGCTGAAAGTGAAGAGGACTTAAAACATTCACTGATGAAGATCAAAGAGCACAGCCTTCGGTATGGATTACATCACAATGTCAAGAAGACAAAAACCCTCACCACTGGACCAATAAACAACATTCTTATCAACAGAGAAAAGATTGAAATTGTCAAGGACTTCATTCTTATTGGATCAACTATCAACAATCAAGGAAGCAGCTGTCAAGAAATCAAAGGACGTATTGCATTAGGCAAATCTACTGCACAAGACCTTTTTAAAATGTTGAAGAGCAAAGATGTCAGCTTGAGTACTAAGGTGTGCCTGACCCAAGCTATGGTATTTTCAGTAACCTCATATGCATGCAAAAGCTGAACAGTGAATAAGGAAGACTATAGAAGAACTGATACCTTTGAGTTATGGTGTTGGAGGAGAATATTGAAAGTACCTTGGGCTACCAAAAGAACCACTCGATCCATTTTGGAAGAAGTGCAGCCAGAGTGCTCCTTGAAGGCCAAGATGGCCAAACTTCGTCTCTCATACTTCGAACATATTGTCAGGAGGGACCAGTCGCCGGAGAAGCATATCATGTTTGGTAAGGTGGGGAGTCAGAGAAAAAAAGGAAGACCCTCAACGAGATGGATTGGCCTGGTGGCAGCATTGATGGACTCAAGAGTGGCAAAAGTAGTGAGGTTGGCCCAGGATCGGGCTGTGTTTATGTCTGCTGAGCATAAGGTCACTATGAGTCAGTGCCAACTCGATGGCACTTAACAACAACAACTGTCGAGGTAGTGATTTACCCTCACACCCCCTTCTCATCCTTGGTAATCATCAAAGAATGTTTCTTTCTGAGTATAAACCTTTTCTTGACTGTTTGTAATAGTGGCCTCATACAATATTTATACTTTTATCTGTGACTTACTTCCTTCCCCATAAGTTGTGAAATTGTTTTCAGTTTCTTCAGCTTCAACTTGAACTTGCATATGAGCAATTGATCTGTTCTACAGTTGGCCTCTGGCTTTGTTCTGACTGATGATATTGAGCTTCTCCATCCTCTCCTTTTCACACGTGTAGTCAGTTGATTCCTCTGTATATCATTTGGCAAGGCTCATATGTGTTGTTGTCATTTATGTTGTTGAAAAATAGTATTTGCAATGAATAGGTTTTTGGTCTTGAAAATTTCAGATATACAATTTCTGATGTCATTTTTATCACCAAGGTTATTATTTTCCAACTATGGAGCCTTCTTTCTTGTTTCCCACATTTGCATTCTGATCATCAGTAATTATCAGTGCAGCTTGGTTGTTTGATCAGTTTCAGACTGCAGAAGTTTGTAAAAATCATCAATTAATCTTTAACAGTAGTGCCTGATATAAATTTGAACAGCAGTCATAATAAATAGTCTACCTTGTTGTTGTTAAGTGACATCGAGTTGATTCCGACCCACAGTGACCTTGTATAGGGTTTCCAAGGAGCAGCTGGTGAGCTTGAACCACTGACCTTGCAGTTCAAATGACTTTTCAGTTTGACGCATTAGCCCGTAGTGCCAACACCAGGACTCCAGTTTGCCTTGTAGGCACATAGAAATTATCCTACCACTGACTGCATTGTATTTCAGGATAGATCTTGAAATGTTCTTTTTGACAGTGAATACAGTAGTACTCTACAACTTATCTGTCATGGTTTGCATTTTGCTGTGATGCTGAAAGCTAAACCATCAGTAATTTATATACCAATAGCATCACCCGTGATAGAGAAATTTCATTAGAGTTTTCAGACTAAGACAGACTAAGAAGAAAAACCTGGTGATCTGTTTCCTACAAAGTTGTCCAGGGAAAGCCTTGTGGAAAACCTTACTGTGTGCTTTGGTGTTGCAAGATGAACTTCTCAGTTTGAAAGACAGCTCAGTATAAGGAGCGAAAAATAGTCCAAGGGAGGAAATATTCATACATAAATAAGCACAGCATAAGGAACCCTGTGTGATGCAAATGGACAAGTACTTGGCTCCTAACCAAAAGGTTGGCAGTTCACATTTATTCAGAGGTACCTCAGCAGAAATGCCTGGCTAACTACTTTCAAAAGATCATAGCCATTGAAAACCCTACGGAGCACAGTTCTACTCTGACATGCATGAGGTTGCCGTGAGTCAGAACTGAGTCAACAACAGTGGATTTAAGCACAGTATATGGCATGCGTTATCAAGCAGCAGTATTAATCATAGTGTCATATGAGCTGCTGTTTCAAAAACCTATAGTCTACACTGTGAGTAATAATTATTTTACATTTATAATGTGGGCCCTTTAATTTCTGCATTTGCTAGATCTGTGATCCTTATTTCCTTTCATTTGTTTTCCTTTTTAAAGGTTGCTTTCATTTTTGCTGTACAAACGAGAGAAATCATAGTCTCCCCCTGCTGGACATGGCTGATAAAACTGGAAAATTTGGCTAATTGACAACAACACAAGAACTCACGTATTTCAATTTTCAAATTTTCTTCCCCACAGCCTCACTAAGCAGCCTTTTGATTACACCGTTCCCATCTCCAAGCTCTTCTACATCATCTTCCAGCAGTTACCAGCGCCGCTGGCTTCGAAGTCAGACAACAAGTTTGGAAAATGGCATTATTCCAAGGAGGTAAGTTGCAGGTTCTCTCTTGCTGAGAAGGTAGTCTTGCTGGCAACTTGATGAAACTGGCAGAACACTGAACTCCCGCCCTGCCCTTGTCTGTTGTTAATATAAAATGAGGGTTAAAACCTTCTGGTGTCAGCTTAGCCTGAAAGTGTACAAGTTAGAAGTTCTTTGGAAAGAATAAATGCAAAAAATATCCTGGTTTGAGAAACACTGGAAAACATTGGAAGGCAATGATATATGTATTATGTTGGTGTTCGTTTAAAATACCCATACATACTGTCCCTTTAAGGAGCTCTGGTAGCGTAGTGATTACGAATCGGGCTGCGAACCTAAAGGTCAGTGGTTCGAAACTACCAGCTGCTCCGCGGGAGAAAGATGAGGCTTTCTACTCCCGTAAGGATTTGCACCCTCGGAAACCCTGTACAGGGTCGCTATGGGTCGGAACCGACTCGACGGCACGTAACAACAACAACTGTCCCTTTAAATTAGCTTCATTCCAGAAACAGCTCTTATAAATGAGAAGGGTAGAGTAAATCTCTTCCTTGGCTTATGATGATTCTCATGCAATGAATTGAAAATATATACTTACTCTCTTCTAAATTCTTAAACTAACCAGACATGGATATGATGATAGAGACATCATAAAGGCATTTTCTACCTTTCTTTCCATCATTTCTTTGGATCTAAAATGTAGTTATGAATACACTTTTGGCTTATTATAATGTTAAATTAATTCCTTCCTTCTTCCTACAACTCCAAACTTAAGAGATTGTAAAGATAAGGTTGAAAATTCACATGGGCATTGACTGAGTAAATTGCCTAGTAATTACTGTGATGAGAGAGCTATGAAGATGTACACGCCTGTATCTAAGTCGGTTATGGAGTAGTAGGGAAGATAATACACACATCTTGTGCACATGAATAATGACACAAGATGAAAAATGATAAATGCCATATAGAATCATAGGTAACGTGCTTTGGGAGTAGTCAGGGGAAGGAGGCAATGCTTGAAGTGGTGGTCATGGAAAAAATTGGGGACCCCCTTTGTGGAAGAGATGGTACTGAAATGAGGAGTCAGGTTGTATAGTTAGTATATCAGCTTCTAGTCACTTTTCTCTTAAGGAGCTCAGAAGAGGATTAAAAATACAGCTGGATCACTCACTGAAAAGTCCTTTTGGTTGGTGTAATTGATGTGAAATGGTTAAGAGCTTAGAACTTGGTATGGTGACATGTCCCAGCTTTTGTCTCACTAGGTGTCTGGTGAACTAGCCCACCCGGATTCTAAGTGTTATGTCCGTATCTGATGTGTGGCAATAATACACTAGTATCTGCCTCAAAGCATTTTGCGTTAGGGAATGCAATTCAAGTGTTTATTCCAGGACATGGCACAACTGTTACCTTCATCATTACAAGTGCTGCAACTGTCACAAGACACCTCCACTTTCATCGTTGTCATTTTGATGGTTTCTGTGACTGGGAAAGATAGATCTTGGAAACCTTCGCCTTTAGGTATTTTTTTTTTACTGCAAATGCTTTCCCAGATCTTTCCAGTTTGGATCTTAAGTTGAAGAGTATTCCCCAAGCCATTTCTCTAAAGTCCTTCAAAACCGTAATTTGTGTTTAAACATGGCATTGGAAGCTAAATGAATAAAACCAAATACATTTATACCTTGAGTTAAGAAAGTCTGTATATCCATTCAGGGCTGAATACATAATTTTGTGGGGCCAGTGCCAATGAACATGTGGGACCCTTTGGTTAAATAACAGGGAATATGTGCCATTAAAAGAACTCAAATAGAAGACTTTTTCCTTTAAAAATATTTAACTTGTAAACTGTAATGGGCTACTAGTGAATTATAAATAATACAAACTATCAATGATAAAATATATTTTTGGTGTAAATTTTATATAATACAAAAATAATCATACTTCATTAATGTGCGATATCTTGAATCAGGAATTTTCTGGCGTTCTTTTCTGCATATTCATTTATTAGGTCATCAGAATTTATACTTTTAGCAACTTCATTTTCAGTCAGTATAACTGTAAGCTTTGTCACTTTCTCCTGGAAAATTCAAGATGGCAAATAATTTCTTATTTTGAAACTTCTGTTTCTGCTGATGCACCTATTATAGCTGAAGCTTTTAAGAGTAATTTTTAGGCTGTGACTAGGCTGGAACACATTTCTTAGAACTTTCAAAATGTAAGTTTTAATACATCTAGGTCAGAGGATTCTTGTACAGCAGTTTTCCTAAAAGATGAAATCTTCACACAAATTCTTTTTATGTAAGTCTGAATTTAATTTTAAATGTAAATTTCTGAGTATTTTAATGTCTCTGACATTTCCCATGAAGGTCTTACAAGAAACCGAAACTGTCTTGATGAGTTCTGTATCATTGAGAATGTGTGGGTTGTTTTTTTTTTTTTTTAATTAAATGTATTTTACCACTGTCTCTTTAACTTTAAGGGAAAATGAATTTTAAAATGCTCTTTCTCATTAATGATTTGTTTATCTAGCTGAAGCTTCATATGAAAATAGTGGGTTTTATCCAATGCCTTTATTTCTATTTCTGATTTTTTGTCTGTGGATATTTCCTTGGTAATGTTACAGCAGTTTTTGTAACCCAAGATTATAAACTCTTTGAATAATTTTTCTAATGTGTAGGCTTTTATGTTGTTATCATTTACTATCCTGGTGTGCAGGTTGGAGAGGAGAGTTAGTACTGGTGCAGGCTCAACAGGGATTGGCTTTGAAAGTCTGGCTTTGACAGGCTGGCCTCCAAGCACTGTTTGAGCCCTTCCTCTTTCTCCTGCCATGACCATTGCTGTAACTGCTCTCACAGACACCCATCTGGGTACAGGTCCCAGCCTGGCCACCTTGGTGTCCTATGACACTCAGGATGGCCCCAGGCATGCACATGCATGTCTGGGCTGCAGTGCCCTGCCCATGGATTGCCTGTGTTACTCAACCATTCAGCAACCATTTAGAGTCCCCACCGCTCCGATGCATGCTCCATCAGACTGCACCCACAGGACACTGTACAGAGATAAAATGAGGCATGCACTTGCATGTCTGGGCTACACTGCCATGTCCATGAGCCTACCTGTGTTACTTAACCTTTCAGAGTCCCCACTGCTCTGATGCATGCTCCTTCAGACTGCACCCACAGGACACTATACAGAGATAAAATGAGGCATGCACCTGCATGTCTGGGCTACACTGCCATGTCCATGAGCCTGCCTGTGCTACTCAACCGTTCAGAGTCCCCACCGCTCCGATGCATGCTCCCATCAGACTGCACCCATATGACACCACCGTACAGAGATAAAATGAGTAAGAAGTTCAAGCTGGCCACGTAAGAGCACTAAGCCTCAGAGCATTAAGCCTGGGGACCTTCAGAGAGCGGGCCATTGTGAGACTGCCACAACCCTGATACAGCATGGTTTAGCATTGAGAATGTGTGTGCAGTAGACATTTCAAATTGATCTGTTCTTTCACAGATCGCGACATTTAAAGGATGTTGCAATTGAGCTCTCCCTTTGGCAGGTGTGGATGTGGAAATTAGCTTCTTATTCTAGAAACATGAGAACAGTGGGTACCAAAAGTCAGGATAGCTTCTGGCTTTGAGAGAAAATTCACAGCAATCAAAACCCTGCTTTCCTAAGAGAATTAAAGTTTATAGTCTGGGGTGATACTCAGCTGGCTCTACACTGACACCCATGCCTTCACGCCTTGCTGTGTCAGGTGTTAAGCATGGTTACTGGATGGGAAGCGGGGCTCCATCCTTTACTAGCTGGTGCAGCAGCATTGCCCATGGTGGTGGTGGTTATGTGCCCTGGAGTTGGTTGGTTCTGACTCATAGCAACCCTGTATGTGGTTTCTGAAGTTTACGGGAGCAGAAAGCCTCATCTTTGTCCTGAGAATGCCTGGTGGACGAGAGCTGCTGATCTTGTCGTTAGCAGCCCAATGCATAACCCACTATGCCACCAAAGTGACTTAGTTCCTATGGTGAAAGAAAAAAACAAAACATTCCGTACCTGTTGCCATCTAGTTGATTCTGACTCATGCCCGTGTATTGCAGATTAGAACTGATTTCCCTAGGGTTGTGTTGGCTGTAATTGCTGTAGAAGAAGTTTGCTGTGCCTGTCTACATCAGAGCTGCTAGGTGGGTTCACACCGCCAACCTTTAGATTAGCAGTTGATCACAAACCACTTGGACCACCCAGGAACGGGTGGAAGAGAAGCTGCAGAGACTTCATCACCTAGTGAAGTTATTGAAACCCTGAAGGAGGACTTCATAATGTCTCAGATATGCCTTTGATTTGAAGTATGAAATTGAACCAACCATAAAAAGTTGCTCATGGAATATTTTATGGCCTACAAAAATGACTGTTTCATATAACTTAATGCAATGCATTTCTTCACCATAAGTAAAAAGCTGGCATAAACAGCTATTGTACTAAGCAATCCTAATATCACTGATGGAGAATCGATTAACATACACCTAAAAATCAGTTTTTGCTTTATGTTATGACAGTTTGCATCACATATATAAGTGCTTATTCATAGGTGTCAACATTTTATTTGATGTCTCTATGAGGAAAACATTTAAATGCAAAGCTGAGGTCTTTCCACGTTTGACTTAATGCCGTCAGCTGATCAGGTTGCTCCCAGCTATCTCCTTGGAGTGCTTCAGCTGGCACAGTGCTTCCAGTTGCATGAGCACCAGACATGGGGCTGACCAGACATGGGGTCAGAGCCCCTGGTCATTTCCTGTGCCTCAGGAAGCCCGAGCCCTAGAGAAGAAGACAGAAAGCAGGAATGCTGACTACAACACTGTCACTCTGAAGCTTTCTGTTCTCTAGGCAAGTTGGTGAATTGCTCTGCCTCAGTTTCCATATTTGTGACATGGTCTGTGTGTCTTACCTGGTGGTAAAGAAAGGATGAAGTATTTGGGGGAATACTTAAGTTTTCTAAACACTGTAAAACATCTTTTTATTGTGTTAATAACTTAAAATATATAATTATACCACATAACTTGATTTATTCCAGTTTACATGGTTGAACCAAGATTACAAAAGGATGCTCAGTGGCTTTCTTATAGTTATGGGAGTTTTTAAAAAATGCAGTAGGTGGCACTCTCTCCTATGTTACAACTAATGAGAGAGTTTGTTGTTTGTAGGGTCAAGATGAAGATGACGTGTAAAGCTACATATGGTTCAACGGTCCTTGCAATTTGATTATTAAAATTCAAGTTGACCTGAAGAGGAATGGGCTGATACAGTCGTTTTTCTTTTGAAAAAGAAAGGAGTGTACATAGGAGATGCCGGAGTTTGGTATGGTACTGTAGGATAACATTGCACTGCTATCCTTAAATTGAATGGTTCAAACTCACCAGCTGCCCCTTGGAAGTCCTATCCAGGGTCTCTGTGAGTCAGAACTGACTCATTGGCATTTAACAATAACTTAGGTGATGACAGCCAAGGAGAAAAGATTTACAAGAAGGTACTTGTTCCAGTTTTACTAAGGGGTAGGAGAATCAGACTCAAGACTCAAAGGAGGTGTTTCTACCTCCTAACCTTTTTTCTGACACCAACCATACTTCCCACGACTCTCTACTTCTCTGTTGGGGGTCAGTAATCTGTTGCAATGGCCACACAAGACTCACAGACAATACTCATGATTATGGGGTTTACTAGGGACTTCAACAGGGTGCAGTTCAGAATCAGATATAACTCAGGATCCAGCAGTTCTCTCGTTAGTGCCCCTTTTTGGCCATACCTCAGGCACACTTATTTCTGGCCATGTGGCCCCTTGGCTTCTGCTCTGCTCTGGCAAGGGTTACAAACTCTTTTAACTCTGATGGCGACTGCCTAAAAGGGCACCCGATTCTGCAAGCCAGCCTCCATCTGCTGCTCTGTGTCTCCATGCTGCTGTTTCTGCCGTTGTCTCTACTGTTGCTGCTTTTCCATGCAGAAAATTCACACTCCAATCCCCACTCATCTTTCATGATGGTCCCAGGATCACCTGTTCCTGCTTCTGAAATGGCACCTTTTAAACCTAGTAGGATGGCAAAACTACACAATCCCCACAGTGGAGTCTGGTACATCCTATTTGCATGGTCCCATCCAGTCATTTGATGGGGATTGCAAAGACTGTGGTGGTGGTGGTTATGTGCCGTGGAGTCGGTTCTGACTCATAGGGATCCTGCACAGGGTTTCCAAGGCTGTAAATTTTTATGGGAGCAGAAAGCCTCATCTTTCTCCCACGGAACAGCTGGTAGTTTTGAACTGCTGACCTTGGGGTTCGCAGCCTGATTCGTAACCACTGTGCTACCAGAGCTCTTTCACAGACTATGGTAGAGGATCCCTGATTCACTGAACCACAGCACTGGTACGATCTAAACGCATAAGAATTTCCTATATAGAAATGGGAAAAACTGGTGTGGGAAACAGTGTATTTAAGTATTTGGAAAAGAGAAGGGAGCATTGCATGACATAGTATGAGAGTCTGAAGATCCATATTATCAAACATGATTAGGATCTAGAGATTTCCCTGACAAAAACAGCTGATGGTTTAATGTAATTTTTACAGCAGCATCTGGTATATCCTTTGCTTTGTGGTGTATTTGTAGAAGAACCCGTTCTTTCATTTTTCACTCCTACTGTTAGTAACTATTTGGTAACTATGCTGGGTTTTCAGAGGAGTTAAATAAACGAATGTGATACCCGTGTAGTTTGGTCATATTTGTGATGCTTACCTCTTAAGACCAATTGAATATACATTCATAAATGATTGGCTTCATGGCTTTCTTATTGTAGAAGCAGAGTCTCTTGAAAGAACCTCAGGTGTTTTTGAGAATTGGACTGTAACAGAAGAGAGCCGGGCCTTTCGCTTAAAGGAACTTTCCATAGAGCCTAATTATAGAGCTGACTCTGAACATTTAGAGTAACTTCATCTAGTAGTTTTAATACCAGATAAATAACCAGTAAATATCCAAGCATGATCTTTTCTTGAACAGAATGTGTATTAGGTTCTTTTATCTTTGGATGATCTCATCTCTTAGTATATAGCAACCCAAAGGGCCTATGGTTTGAATAAATGGATGTTTCACACCCCTTTCTAAATACCACCAATCTGGCAGTGAAATATCCAAGGTGAAAAGGTTTAACAAGGGACATTTAAAATTGCTTTTAGTTATCATTTGTATTTCTCTTCTTGTTATGATAAAACTGTGTGGCAAACTAAAATTCTCATTTTCCATGACAGAGAGTTATAGAAGAGGATGAATTAGATGTAGATAGACAGGGTCACTATGAATCAGAACCGACTCCATGGTACTTAACAACAACAACCAGCTTTTAGTTAGAGACCTGGTGTGGTGCTGTGGGTTAATGTGCCAGACTGCAAAGCCTTTTGAAATGTAAAGTCGGTGATTCAAGCTCACCAGATACTTCTCAGAAACCCAATACAGGGTTGCTGTGGGTCCCAATCAACTTGAGGGCACTTAACAACAACAACAACACGCTCTTATTTGGAGTCCTGGTGTGGTGCTGTAGGATAAATAGTAGACTGCTAACCTCAAAGTCAGCAGCTCAAACTCACCAGCTACTCCTCAGAAACCTTTGTAGTGTGGCTATGAGTTGGAACCAACCAGATGACACTAAAAACAACACACTGTTAGTTAAGACTGAGTTTTCTGAATTCGCCTTTTCAGTGTTGTCCCTTGGCAATACAGTTTGCAGTTTACTAATGCAGTGTGCTTCATTGAAGCCTGATCGATTTTCAAAATGATCTTTTTTCTTCAGGTCAACTGATGAGACCTTCAGCTTGGCTGACGAAACGTGTAGCTCTAATCCAGCCATAGTTCGGAGGAAGAAAATTGCCATAAGCATCATCTTTTCCCTGTGTGAGAAAGAAGAAGCACAAAAAAACTTCCAGGACTTCTTTTTTTCTCATTTCCCTCTGTTTGAATCTCACATGAACAGACTGAAGAGTGCAATTGAAAAGGTAATAGGAATGTATGTAATCCAGTGTCCAAATAGAGAAGTAATGTGCAATTCTGGGGATTGGAAGACTCAAGAGGCCATTTGTTTGTGTATAAGATCACTTTCCCAGAGAAGCAAAATCATCCACAGCATTGATAGGTCCTTAGACATACTTGGTGTTAGATACCAGATATTGGGTTGCTTTTGGACAGGAAATGAGCACTTTCTGATGACTAAACTCATTATTACCTTGATTGCCTTTAATTGGTCATGATTGATCACTGTCTTTTATTTATTAAAGCACTGAAGAGAAGTTATAAAGGAATTTCCTCTCAGTAATTTGGCTTGTTTTCTCTTCAATGAAGGCCATGATCTCCTGTAGGAAGATAGCTGAGTCTAGCCACCGAGTCCAGTTTTATGTCAGTCGTCTGATGGAAGCGCTGGGAGAATTCAGGTAAATTGTTAAAGTTAAAATTCAGGTAAATTGTCAGATCCCAGAGGGAAAAGTTCACAAGCAAGTAACACCACCAGCTCTGAAGCTCAGGGTACACAGAGGCTATGACTTGGAAGAATTGGAGAGACTGGCAAATATTAGTCACATTAAAGGCTCCTTCCTTTTAAATGGAATCTAAGACTAAGTAGCGCAAACAAACTAAGTGGTAGGAGTGATGCTTGTGTGCCACCTTGCTGGTTCTGACTCATAGCGACTCTGTGTAGGGTTTCCACACACTGTATATTTTTATAGGAGCACAAAGACTTATCTTTCTCCCATGGAATGCCTGGTAGACTTGAACTACTGACTTTGCAGTTAGCAGCCTAGCTCATAATCCACCACACTACCGGGGCTCTTTAAACAAATTAAGTAAACACTAAGTAATCCTTACCAAACCTGTTGCCATTGAGTTGAATCTGAGTCATAGTGACCCTGTAGAACATAGTTGTTGTTGTTAAGTGTCACTGAGTTGGTTCTCATTTATATCTACCCTGTATAGGGTTTCCAAGGAGTGGCTGGTGAGCTTAAACCACCGACCTTGCAGTTCAAACCGACTTTGCAGTCCAGTGCATTAACCCACAGCACCACACCAGGAGTCCATAGGACAGAGTAGAACTGCCTTTTACTTTGCCTGTTAGGTTGCTATGAGTTGGAATTGACTCTATGGCAATGGGTTTTCCGGTGGATAATCCTCACACTTGAGTCCTAGTGTGCGCTGTAGGATCAGCACTGGACTGTGAACCACAAGTTAGACAGTTCAGATCTCACCAGCTGCTCCTCAGAAACCCTATAGAGGGTCACTGTGAGTCAGAGCCTAGTCGACAGCACTTAACAACAACAACAGCAATCATACTACCTTGCCACCCTTGGTATGGGATGAATGTGGAGAAGTAATGTTTAGGAGTCTCTTATGAGCCTGTTTATTATCTTACCGTCTTCTTCACAGGAGCCTTAAGGGTAAACACTATTAACTGCATTTTAAAGATACAGAAACCTGAGTTCAGAGATGCTTGTCCAAAGCTTAGATGGAGAGAGTAAGTACGTCAGAGAAATTACCTTTCTGCGTAGCCAGGACAATCCTATTTTATACCTGGTCCTGGGATAATATTAATAGCACGTCCCTCCCCATCTGATTTCTTTTCATAAGCATCTTAGTTTGGACTTTAACTTATTTAGTCACAATACTGTCTTCGTAATTTTTAAGTGATTTCTACTATGAAAACCGATTTTATAGTCTTTGGTCCTAAAGTATGGGGAGAAAGGTGGTCTACTCTGGATAGCAGGTGGGATCCTCAAGTGGGATGCTGAGCTGAGATTGTTGCACCATTTCCTAAAGCCAGTTTCTCAATGGGTTTGGAATCCCACTCCAAAGCAGTCATAACTAATGAGTCAAACTGTTACTCCTTAGCCATGAGATTTCAATAATTTTGCAATTCTTTGGATTTTAGAATACTTTTGTGATGCTTAATATGTATATGGAGTCCTGGTGTGGTGCTGTGGATTAATGTGCTGGACTGCAAGGTTGGTTTGAACTGCAAAGTAGGCGGTTCAACCTCACCAGCCACTCCTCAGAATCCCTGTAGAGGGTCAGGGCCTCTATCAGTTGGAACCAATTTGACTGCACCTAAACAACTACAACAAGTTGTATATGGAATTGTGGTAGTGTAGTGGGTTATGCATTGGGCTACTGACCTAAAAGTCAATAGTTCAAATCCATCAGCCACTCCTCAGAAACTTTATGAGTCAGAACTGACTTGAGGGAACTTAACAACAACAGCAACAACCTATAATACTACTTAAGATCACTAGCCTTTTTTGAATCCTGGATTTGGTATAAAATATTCAGCTATCAAGTCACTTCTGACTCAATAGTAAAATCCCCACTAAGCCCTATGGTAGCATAGTGGTTACGAATTGGGCTGCTAACCTCAGGGACAGCAGTTCAAAACTACCAGCTGTTCTGTGGAAGAAAGATGAGGCTTTCTGCTCCCGTAAAGATTTACAGCCTTGGAAACCCTGCACAGGGTTGCTATGAGTTGGAACCGACTCCACAGCATATAACAACAACAACAACAACAAGAAGCCCTATATAGGGTCTCTAAGACTACATCTTTTTAGGAGCATTTGAACTGCTGACCTTGTAGTTAGGAGCCCAGTACTTATCTTACATTGTCACCAGAACTCAGTTATACATACTTGTTATCTGATGACTGTTAAGTCTTAAGTTACATAGATAAATAATGGGAAGTTGTGCTTTTTAATGGCTATCTGATCATTGTTAACCCTCACTAGTTTTGTGGACAACAATGAGTTTTTATTTGTTACTCTGCTGCCATGTGGCTCGAAGCTAACTTGTGCTGGAGAATCGGGTTCAATGAAAGTATCAATTTTTAGGTTTCAAGAATCAAAGTATAGAACCAGAGAGACTTTACTATACATACTGATAGGCCTTGCTCTTATCTAATAGTGTTCAATTAAGAAATGGTGGTAAAATAAAGAGACCTCAACTTGTAGTCCACCACGCGTCTGTCAGTTTGTCATACTGTGGTGGCTTGTGAGTTGCTGTGGTTCTGAAAGTTATGCCACTTTCAGAATACCAGCAGGGTCACCCATGGTGGACAGGTTTCAGATGAACTTCCAGACAAGGACAGACTACGAAGAAGGAGTGACGAACTACTTCTGAATATTTAGTCACTGAAAACCTTATGAATAGCAGAGAAACACTGTCAGATATAGTGCCGGAAA